TTTCTCCTGCACTATTCATTTCTGTTTCAATGGCTTGCCTCAGTACTTTTCTTTAATTAATACTGTTTATGCTCAATGATGAATAATTCAGAGTCGTACAAGCAACAGATGTCAGAGGATTCAAAATGATTTTTTCCTGAATTATTTATTATTTCCAAAAAAGTAACAGGTTTGTTGAGCAAGTAACTGGCAATGCAGATGTAGATCAAGGTTTGTCAGCAGGCGATAAGGTCTCCCACATCCTCGCCGATGACGTTTGTGCGTGTTAATAGACGGGGCTGCACGGTCGATGGCGAGTTGGATGCTGCAGCTCACAGACTCGGTTATCCGTCCCAGGGCTGACAGGCTGGGGCCTGGTTTGGTTTCCAGGTTAGTCTGTGGCTGTTGAAACAAAAATGAGGATTCATCTAAAAACAGCTAATGAATGCAGGCATGCAGGTGGTGGCTGTCAGACGCAATGACGACCTCATGTCCCCACAGAAACAAACGACATCTTTGTTTGCAGGGATAGATGAAAACTAGAGACTCGCCAGGTGTGACGCTGCCTGCTCGGAACCCTTGCACTTGAGAGGTGGAAGCAAAGCTGGGTGGGGGTTGGGCACACCTTCAAGCCCGTCAAGGAGGCAGAGGCAGGAGGATCAGGAGTTCGAGGCTAGTGTGGTCTGCATATTGAGTTCCACGACAGCCCTAAGGAGAGAGACAAAATGTTGAAGCAGGAGATCCAGAATGGCCTCAGCTGCATATTGAGTTTAAGGATTGCTGGAGCTGTACGAGACCCTGTTTCAGCAAAACAAAATAAAACAAACAAACAAATAAAAACCAAATAGCAACATCAAAGAGTCCCTTCAGAAAGGAGACTAGAGATGTAGAAGAAAGTACACAATGTGTGGGATGTCTCAGAGCTCATATATAAGAATATTCTCTGCACTGCTGCTTAAGATTGGATTGTACATTTTAAAATTTAGTTTGTGTGTTTGTGTATGTGTGTGTGCATGCGTGCACCGGAGGGAAATTTGTAGGAGTCAGTTCTCTCCTTTCCTCGTGTGAGACCCATGAGTTGAATTCAGGTCATCGCATCAGTAGCAGGCCCACTACGCCATCTTGTTGACCCTATAATTGAATTTTTAAAAGGAAAAAAAAAAAGCCAAGCTCAAACAACAACAACAATAACAAAAATCAACCTCAAAATCTAACAGTGAAATGTGGGCTATACCAATTCTGGTACACCCAAACAATGAAATAGTAGATAGTCATTTAAATGATATACATGGTTATTTTTATCAGAAAAAATTAGCATATTAAATAGATAAATGAGAAAAAGTATTCAGACAGTATGGTTTCATTTCTGTAGAAAATTTGTTTTGCAGTTGTTTTTATTTTCACATAGCAACAATTCACATAGAAAGAATTGCTCTTAAATATTAATAAGGGACAGGTAGGAAGAGGAGGGCCCAGGGTGATTTTTCTTCTGCTTTACATATATTCTCAGTATCTCCATGATAAGTACACACATTATCAGTCATCGTAAAAAGTCAAGGTGCTAAAACAAGATACCCAACTGTGTCGATTAAAGAAGGTAATTCCTACACTGGAGCAGCGAATGTTCTAGAAGGGTAGATGGCTTCCCTACTGCCTGTGACCGCTCTGTTCCCCAGGGCCTTGTCACCTAAATGACCAGTGCTGAGCTAAATGGCCGAATCCGTCACTAGGAGGAGTGGGTGTCGGGGAGACTCATTTCCCACCTGGTGGCCCCGTTTCTAAAGTAGCCCATATCTCTTCAGATCTAGTCCCTTATTTGTGTCCCACTGCCATGTGCAGAGTGTCACTGATCTCTCCGTGACCAGCTACAGTGCTGTACTGTGGCTGGAAGAGGAAATGAATTCTTCTGAGCAGTCCACAGTCCCTGCTAAATATATTACCTGTGTAATAAGAAGTGAGATGCCGAAATTAAAGGAAGTAAGGTTAGAGATTAGGTGTCTTCTGAGGGCACATTCTCTGGGAATTAAATGGACAGAAGGAGGACACAGTTCGGTTTTCTGGGGGTGACAGTCTGGTTGGGAAATGAGACAGGCAGAAGAATTCAAAATCGCCTCTACAAAGTACCAGAAGAATGTCTCCAAAAGTCCAGCGCAGAATACCAGCCTGGGTCATGAGGTGGGTTTAGAGGAATTGAAAAGCTTACAGTGTTGCTTCAGTAAACTGCCAGGATTGCTTGCACTTGCCTAAGAAATAAATCTATTTGTTTTGTGACATTTCAAGGCTAGCATGACCTTGTACACCACAGGGGAACCGAATTATATTTGTCTATTGACTAAAAAATCACTGTAAGGCTCTAAGTAAGCTTTACTTAGCTGTAATTCTTTGTTAAATATGTAGTGACTTTTTCACATAAAATGTCTTAGAAGAGGTGTAATGTGAAAACCATCTTATTCACATAGCCAGGTAGTAGTGGTAGTACACGCCTTTAATTCCAGCTCTCCAGAGGAGGCAGAGGTGGGCAGACCTCTGAGTTCAAGGCCATCCTGCAAGGTCTACAGAGCAAGTTCCAGGAAAGCCAGTACTGCACAGAGAAATCATGTCTTGAAAAACAAACAAAATTCATTCATGTATGCGTGTGTGCGTGTGCGTGTGCGTGTGTGTGTGTGTGTGTGTCTGAGTGAGTGTATGCCACATGTGTAGTGCCTGCATAGGCCAGAAGGGGGTGTCCGATTCCCCTGGAGCTGGAGTTACAAGCGGTGTGAACCATCCAACGTGGTGCTAAGAACATTAAGTGCTCTTAACCTCTGACCCATCTCTTCATCCCTGAAAAACCATCTTTTAAATGAAAAAATACATAAGCCTTTATTTATGGCTTTGAAGTTGTGATATGTTTATCTCAATAAGTTATTTCTGAAATACAGCTGGATGGCAGAGCAAACTGTTAAATAGAAGGGATTCTTTCTTTCACTTTTTTTGGATAGAAAATTTTCTTTCTGTCTCTCATAGATTTTGGGGGGGGCAGGTAGAGTTAATACACCTTTTTAATATATAGGCTTAATCATGAAGGTTAATAATAAAAGGGATTATCAGAAGACACATCCAAAAGCATTTGCTCCTCCAGGAAGTGAACTCAGGTCCTCTGCAAGAGTAGCAAGTATTTAAAGCCAAGGCTGAACCATGTCTCCAGCCCCTTGGTAGATTTTTAGTCATGCAAAACAATTTCATCAAAACAGGATGGAATTTTGTGTTGTTTGCAATACACCAGATCTTACATCTCTGTGGAATTTAAGCAAATAAAATAAATGCTTAGAGAAATACTCAGTGGTTAAGAGATCTGGCTGCTCTTGCAGAGGGCATGAGTTTCACTCACATGGCAGCTCACAACTGCCTGGAACTCCAGTTCCAGGGGGATCTGGTGCCCTCTTCTGGCCTCTGCAGGCACTGCACACATGCAAAACGCATACATTCATACAAGTGTACACACTAAAAAAAAAATCTGGTTTTATGCACAGAACTATTCAAGGTCAAATGTGTTGTTTGTTTTTTTTTTTTTTTTTTTTTTGCCCCATTCCCCCTTACCCCTGTTGTTTGTTTGTTTTATTCTGTCCCAGCTGTGATCTCTTATAAACGGTGGACACACCTGCTTCTGACTTGGGGTTTCTCAATATTCCATGCAGTGAAATAAAATATTTGAAGAGAAACAGGAAAAACCACCCAGTGCCTCAGGGGTCATTTTAGAAAAGAAATAAGGTCCTCTAAGAATAACTGGGACTTTTTGCATACCAGGTGCCTGTAGTTCCGGTTCCAGGGGGATCAAATACCTCTCGCCTCCCTAAGTATCTGCACACGTGAACATACCCACACAGACACATACATACATTTAAAAAAGTAACAAAATCTTAAAAAAAGAGTCATTGCAAATGAGGCAGGCATAGACTTGAAAACTACTATATGACAGGTTTTTTTTTGGAGGGTGGTTATTCTCAAAATAAAGATTTCTATAGTTGGGAAGAACTTTAAAAATTGAATGATGGGACTGGAGAGATGGCTCAGCAGTTAAGAGCACTTCCAGAGGACTCGGGTTCAATTCCCAGCACCCACATAACAGCTCACAACTGTCTGTAACCCCAGTTCTAGGGGATCTGACTCCCTCACACCAATGCACATAAAATAAAGTTAAATAAATTATTTTTAAAAATTGAATGATCTAATTGTCTGGTTTTGTAGATGAGAATCAGAGACACATAAGAGATCAAGTCTCACTGTAGGTCTGGCTGTCCGTCTGTTCTCTGTTCTTATGGCCCCAGGATACCTGGACCTCTAATACGATAATTCTGATGGTCGCCCTGCTTGCTTCTCACCACTGATATGAATCTCAGGTAGAATTCTATTTTCATTGTTTGCTGTTTTAGACTGCCTAGTCTCTGGTTGTAGCGGGGATGGCATAGAACTAGGTTGGGGTAGGAGGGAGGCAGCCTGCTGCTTTCTGCCGCTTTCAGGACGTCTCAGGGAGGATGAGCGGTGTGTTTTGATTTGTATGAATAAGAAACCCATTGGGACAGAACTCAGACTTGCAGCCAATCTTGTCAGGATGTTTCATAGCCAAAGCCTCTCTAGATAAAGAACTCTTCCCCTGCCTGCCCACTTCAGAGTGGGGAGAGTCAGCATCTCACAGTGACAACAAAACCATTTCTTTCTCATTATGACAGGGCCAAAGAGCTGAAAGGCAGGGTTGCCTTTTTGAATAAATTTCTCTCATGTTTGAATGAGGATGAGTTGCCACATGGAGGCACGGTGCTAGTTTAATTTTTTTTTTTTCTTTTTTCCTTTTCTTTTCGGTTGTTCGAGACAGGGTTTCTCTGTGTAGCTTTGGGAGCCTGTCCTGGAACTCGCTCTGTAGCCCAGGCTGGCCTCGAACTCACAGAGATCCTCCTGGCTCTGCCTCCCGAGTGCTGGGATTAAAGGCGTGCGCCACCACTGCCTGGCTGGTGTTGTTTTGTTTTGTTTTTTTTTTTTTTTTAAATTCAAAGATTTATTTTACAAAACTTATCAGTGGTGCTAAAGGATCCAAGACTCTCTTCCTCTTGTGCAGGCTTCCGGGGGGATCAGCCTGAGAACTGAAGTCACTTTTGCTGTGAACAAGAGGGCCATGTAAGGTCTCCTGTCACCCTTCTCTGGCTGTCAGCTCCTGATGTCTGACTCCGCCCCTTCCCCCGTGCATTAGACATTGAGAAACGGAAGGAAATCACTTCTTTTCTTTGAAATGTCACTTCAGACGGTGCTCGGCCACCTTCCAGGGAGATCTCCATTGCTACGACGATGACAGAGGAGGGTTAAGCTGTCACTGATCTTTCATCTTGCAGAACCCATTAGGTCCGCAACTTGGAAGGGTAAACTCCCCACATCACAGAACCCAAGTAAGAGATTAGCGCCATGAGACGGAGGGCTACCACCCGTCCATTTAATCGAGACCCCAAACCGAAAAATGGTTGCTGATGCTTATCATAATTACAATGACATTAAGGCGCCTTTTGGGGTTGTTTTTGTTTCTTTGTAAATGGGATTTAAGATCCGGACCCTATGAAGACGAGGACCGGAGCTGCGTGCCTACCAGGTGCAAGAGGTCCGTCTGTGTGGCGTGAGCACGCTAATCCCTCCCCTCCTCTCTTCTCTTTGGCAGCAAATCACTTCCTGGTGTGCTGGGTAATAACAGGCAGCTGTCCTGTCCGCCCTGCTGGAAAATGAGATAATAAGGCAGGCAAACGATGTCCTTTATGTCGGAATCCACCACTTCCTGCAGTTTGCTTCTGAGATGCTTTGAGGGAACAAGGATCCGGGCAATTTTCACACCGTTTCTCCTTCAAAAAAAAAAAAAAAAAAAA